CAGAAAGGCCTTAGTAATGGATAACTTGCTATTGCCTTGAATTTCCTCCTGTCCTAGACAAAGCCACACTGCACAAGGTCTGAGACTACCCAGTAGGACTACATGTTGTGTAAGCTCATTTTAACTATATATAAGCAGTATGATCGTGCGAGGCATTTTAACAAGGCCAGTGTCACGTAAGCCATTCTGTATTTGTTTTTGTAGCAGCCATGTCAGCTACCAGCTCCTTACTTCCAGTAAGTGGATATCTCCATCAATTTCCAGTGTGTCGATACTGGTAAGCTCTTTAAATCTGTGTTTGTACTCCAGGCTGTGTACACCATTTACCGCAACCTTGAATTCTTTAATGTCACAATAAATTATCATCTGAAAGGAAAGTACACACATCATTAGGGCTTCCCCTAGGTTTAAAAATTCTGTTTCTTGTGCACTAAGAATGTCAAAAAAAAGTAAACCATTTACCTTTCCTTATAGAGAATTCTCCAGCCTACTGCTGCTCACTTCCCTTTGATTTCTAAACTCTCCTCTAACTAAAGTGTGTCTGGTGATGGCACCGTCTGCCTTGTCCCACTAAGGAAAATGACTCCAGGAGTGGTTGGAACCTCACATATCCCAGGGCCTATCTGGCCTTCCTTCCCCAGCACACTCCCTCACCTGACCCTCTCCTGCCCCTTGCTCCACGGCAAACTGAAAGATGCCTACCTCACCAATGTTCAGGAACTCGGATGAAGTAGGAAAACTGATTATTTTATTTTATTCCCATCACCCCACCAACCTTCACACTGGCAATCATCAGCTTGCTCGCTGTATCTATAGGTCGGTTTAGTTTATTCATCTGTTGTTTTAGATTCCACACATAAGTGGGATATGATGTTTGTCGCTGTCTGTCTCGCCTATTTCACTTTGGCAGGATCTCGTTCTTCACTGCTGAGTCATGTTCCCCTTACACGTGTGCCTCACCGTTTCCTAGTCAGTCGTCTACAGAAAGACACCAGGCTGCTTCCATGTCTTGGCTATTACTAGTCACGCTGCAGTGAACACAGGGTTAACACTACTTTTTGAATTAGTGATTTTGTTTTCTTTGGATAAATACCAAGAAACAGATTACTGGAACATACAGCAGCTGTTTTTAACTTTTTGAGGATATCTACAGTTTTCCATAGTGCCTGCACCAATCGCATCAACCCCCAGTGCGGAGGGTTCCCTTTTCTCCACATCCTCGCCAACACTAGTTTGTTGATTCCATTCTGACAGGTGTGAGGTTTAATTCTAATTTCTCTGATAATTAGTGATGCTGAGCATCTTTCCACCTGCCTGGTGGTCATCTGTACGTCCTCTTTAGAGAACTGTCTATTCCTGTCTTCTGCCCATTTTTTAATTGGATTGGGGTTTTTTTGGGTGTTGTCTTGAGTTCTTTATATATTTTGGATATTATTAACCTTTGTGAGTATCTTCTCCCAACTGGCAGCTTGTCTTTTTTGTTGATAGTTTCCTTTGCTTTGCAAAAACACTTTAGTGTGACATTGTGCCGTTTGTGTTTTTTGTTTCCCTTGCCTAACGAGAAATCCAAAGATAGATCACAAAGAGCGATGTCAAAGAGTTTACTGCTTTTGTTTTCTTCTAAGAGTTTTATGGTCTTGGGTCTTACATAAGTCTTTAATCCATTTAAGTTTATTTTTGTGTATGACTTAAGAAAGTGGACCAACTTCATTTTATTGCACGTATCTTAACAGTTTTCCCAACACCATTTACTGAATAGACTTCCGGGCCTCCTTTGTCATAGATTAGTTGACCATATAGGTGAGGACTTATTTCTAGGCTTTCTGTTCTACTCCACTGATCTGGAGGACTGTTTTTAAATCAGTACCGTACTGTTTTGATTATTGCCACTTTATAGTACAATTTGATATCAGGGATACCTTCCACTTTGTTCCTTCTCAAGGTTGCTGTGGCTATTCAAGGTCTTTTGTGATTCCATATAAATTTAGGACTAGTTGTAGTTCTAAGAATGCCATAGGGATCACATTGATTCTTTACATTGCTTTAGGTAGTAAGGACTTTTTAACAGTAGTGATCCCTCTAGTCCACGAGCAAGGTATATCATGGTATCTATCTGTATCTTCTTCAGTTTCTTTCCTCAGTGCCTTAGTTTTCAGAATACTGGTCTTTCTCTTCTTTGGTTAAATTTATTCCTAGGTATTTTATGTTTTTTAATGCCATTGAAAATGGCATCGTTTTCTTGATTTCTCCTACTGGTCATTTGTTACTAGTGTGTAGAAATGCAACAGATTTCTGTATATTGGTTCTGTATCCTGCAACTTGAATTCACTTACTAGTTCTAACAAATTTTTGGTGGATTGTTTTTCTATATATAGTATCATGTCATCTGCAGATAATGAGACTTTTGCCTCCTTTCCAATTTGGATGTCTTTTACTTCATGTTGTTCTTCTAGTACTGTGTTGAAAAGAAGTGGTAATAGTGGGCATCCCTCTCTTGTTCCTGATCTTAGAGGAAAAGCTCTTAGCTTTTTACCTTTGAGTATATTAGCTGTGGGTTTGCCTTTATTATGTTATGTTCCTTCTATGCCCACTTTGTTGGGAGGTGGTTTTTTAATCATGAAAGGATGCTGAATTATGACAAATGCTTTTTCTGCATCTATTAAGATGATCATATGTTTTCTATGCTTTATTTTGTTAGTATGATCCATCACTTCATTTATTTGCAGATGTTCTGGTCATGATGTAAATAACCCTTTCAATGTATAGTTGAATCTGATTTGTTAGTATTTTGTTGAGAATCTTTGCATCTGTGATCATGAAAGATATTGGCCTGTACTTTTTTTTTTTGTAATGTCTTTATCTGTTTTTGGTATGGTGATGCTGGAATTAGTAGAATAAGTTTAGAAGTATTCCTTCCTCTTCGATTATTGTTGTTGTTGTTAATCCTCACCAGAAGGTATTTTTTTCATTGATTTTTAGAGAAAGTGGAAGGGACAGAAGGTGGGGGGAGAGGGAGAGGGAAAGAGAAACATGGATGAGAGACACCAATTAGCTGCCTGCTGCATGCGCCCTGACCGGAACTGGGGATCAGAACTGGGAATCGAACCCGTGGCCCTTTAGTGCATGGGCTGATGCTCTAACCACTGAACAAACTGGTCAGGGCCATCTTTTTTTTTTTTTTAATTCTTTTTTCTTTCTGTTGTCCTGATTGGTTGATTTCAAATAGTCTGCTCTCCAGGTCATGATCTGTTCCTCTCTATTAGCTAACCAATCCACTGTTGGTTCCTCCTGTGTTTTTCATTCTGCTCCGTGTGCTTCAGGTGGCTTGGTTCGTTGCACTCCTCTTGCTGAAGCTCTCCCTCGGTTCCTGTCGCACTCCCAGGATTGGTGAGCATCCTTATAACCGCTTCTCTGAAAACTACATCAGGCAAATTACCTCTGTTTCCTTAGGGTCTTCTTGAGGTTTTTCTGGTTCCTTCCTTTGAGAGATCCTGACTTTGTGTTTTTGTGAATTAGACAAAATACCTATCTCTTCCAGTCTTGAAAAAGTGCCTCATGTTGACGTGGCCTCTGTGTAGGCTGCGCGCCAGGTGGTTTTGGCAGTTCAGTAGGAGTCAGAGCACTGGGAAGAGCTGCTACCCACCCCATGGAGGAGGAGGGGAGCATAAATAGTGGCTGCACTGGCACCTCTGACACCAGAGAGCTCCCACAGCTCCCACAGCTTCCTGCACAGTCTTTCTCATTTGTTGTACCTAAAGTGGTCTTGTGCAGAAGTGACCTGTGTGGATTTTATGTGCCAGGTCGTTTTGGAAGGTGGTTGAAGCCGGGCAGGCATTTAATGGCACTGGATTTTCGGGCTGGAGTGGCTCTCAGCAGGAAGGCCAGGCACATGCTAACACCCGGTTGTGCCTGTCTGTTCCCTATGGAGGCAAAGGGCTCTAGCAAAGCAGCTGGGAAGGTGGTGCACTGCTCCCGCAGGCAGCCCACAACACTGCCTTATCCAGTGGAGAGGGGCATCAACAATGGTGTTCACCAGGTCCTCCAGCCAGGAGAGGTCCTGCGGCTCTTGGACGGTTCCTTGTGGTTTCAGTCTCTCTCTCGTTTGTTGGTCAGAAGGTGTTCAATTAGCCCTCAGCTGTCCCACAGGAGTAACTGCTCTTTTATATTCATCTGCTCATGGGATGGGGCAAGTTCTGCAACGTCCTACACTGCCGCCATCTTGGAACTCCAAAAACTGCTGATATCTGACCCTCATTTGTGGAAGAGGTGATTCCAACTCAGAGGCTGGGAAACGAGAGACAGATCCTTCCTTTTCTGCCTCAAGCTCTAGGATCTTGGACCAATCAGGCAATGAGAAATTTCAGAAGGACAATTGCTAGGCAATACACTGCCACTTGGGGGCCCTGACTTCTATCTCAGCTCAGCACATCGTGGCCTCCATGTTTCTCAAAAGCTCTTCAGAGCTCAGCAGTCTGAGTCTATGGAGTAATTAACATTCTGGTAGACATTCAGTTCAGATTTATCACTGGTGTTCACCCTTCAAGTTCTTTGCCTAAAACTCTAAACATTAAAACAAAAAACCCTACTATCCTTTTCAGTCACTTTTACACCTAAATCTCATGTTTCTGATACCACATCCCAATACCAATCTAGCCCCTGCTGCTTCCATTTGTTTTCTTCCCACAGTGAAGTGGCCCATTTGGTGAGCCTGCATGGTGTCCCCTGTGGTTCTTGCTTCCATCAAGGCTGCAGAAGATCAGAGAGGAGCAGCAGAGCCTTGCTACTAACCAGAGGCCAGGCTCACGCACAAAATCTTTATCTGCAAAGCAGCAAATCGAGTATCTTTATTCTTGATGGGACTAGTAGAAACAGTGGGAAGTTCCACAGAACCTAGAGCTGACAGAGAGGAAGGCTCTGGCGCTACCTAGACAATTGGTAAAAATATCCATAGTGATGGTGGAAATCCCAGTTTTGACCAGGTGGAAGGGACCTTTGGTAAGGTACATCTAACAATTTCAGGAGACCAGAAAATAGCCTTATGCTCTCAGAAGGGAAAAGAAGTTGGCATCAGGTGGATGCAGTGGGAAAGAGTCAGCTGTATCAGAGAGTAGAGAGCCAGTGCATGGCGAACAAATGGAAATGTGGCACATGCCCAGGTGAACGTACAAAAAGCAGAAGAAAAGTATATAACCTGGAAGAAAACCTGGAACAACAATATCCTCACAACCGCCTGCTGTTACAGGACAGCTCCTGAGAACGTCAAATTGATAAAAATGTTCACAGGTGAAATTACGAAACAAAGATACTTTAATGTAAATTGGAAACAGCAAAGAAAAGAAGACACTGTTTGGAATCAAAGAAATGGCATAATGAAGATATCTGAGAATCTCAATGAAAGCACATTAAAAAGGCAAAAATTAGAAGCAACTGGAAAAAATCTAACACTATAAAAAATGGACAAAAATGATCCAACAAGAGGAAGCTGTTTCTGAAGAAAATAAAAACACGGTGATCACTTAGGAGTTATCACTATCCTTTCATATTTCATTACAGTTCAAATGGGGCTCAGATAGGTGAGAAAACAAGTTATGTCACTAGCTCCTGTGGCCAACCACAAGGACCTACTTCCTTCCAGAGCACTCACCCCTATCTTCCTCCTGCCACGTTGATGAGTCATATGCCACCCTTCCCTCCTCCAGTGACTTCTTAAATCCTCGGAATCTGGAGAACCCTGCCTGACCTCCCACCGCCCACATCCCCCTCAGTTCCAAACCAGTACCCACAACTTCTACACGCACCACATACCAGGGCACTGTGCTGGACTGGAACTTAGGAAGGAACATTAATGTCTAATTGCCATCTTCTATGCAGCCTTGATGTTTACGCTTTTTTTTTTTTAAATCCTCACCCAAGAATATTTTTTCCATTAATTTCTAGAGTGGAAGGGGGGGAGAGAAACATCAATGTGAGAAACATGGATGTGAGAGGGACCACACTGATTAGTTGCCTCCTGCTCACACCCCAATTGGGATGGGGAACGTGCAACTGAGGTATGTGCCACTGGAAACCGAATCTGTGACCCTTCAGCCCGAGGGCTGATGCTCTAACCACTGAGCGAAATGGCCAAGGTGATATTTATGCTTTTAAAAACTAGTTTTTGCCCTGGCTGGTATGGCTCAGTGGTTACAGCATCATCCTGTACACCGAAGGGTCATGGGCTCGACTCCTGGTTAAGGGCACGTACCTGAGCTGTAGATTCGCTCCCCATCCTGGTCAGGCAGATGCCAGAGGCAACCAATCACTGTGTCTCTTTCACATCGATGTTTCTCTCTCCCCCTCCCTCCCTTCCACTCTCTCTCAATGGAAAAAGTATCCTCAGGTGAGGATTAATAAAAACAAAAAAACTAGTTTTGGTGATTCCTCAAGAAAAATGGTCCCAAGATTGTTTAAAATAACCCTAAAATGCCATATGAGGCAGAGAGTGAATCTAGCTAATGAGTGAATCTAGCCAGCCACCCAGCATCCACATGCTCAATATTCCAGAAACATTTGGGGACTGTATTTTTCATAATATTCATATACATACTTGGGGGCTCAAGACTACAATGCCTTCAAGTTCCAATGGTCTAAACATATCTTTTCTTGAATATATTCAAACAGGATTAACTTCTTGGAAGGAAGGACTGCCACCTAAAGCTGTATATAACCAACATGGAAGATGACAGTGCAGGCAGTTTACAGTTCCTATGTCTTCACATCCGCTGGGTATTAAACCTATTACTCCTGTACTGAGACAAGTTTCCTGCTAAAATTCCTATTAACCAATATGGGGCTACACAGTTTTTGATATGACAAATATCAAATAATTCCAATGTAAATACTGTGGTACTCTACTGGCTTTGCCATTTGCACTATTTTATAAAAGGGGCATTCAAAATACAGTCTCAAAATAAACAAAAACCACACAAATCTTCACAGTAGGACTTGAACTTGCATGGACCATTTATGTTACCCCTGCTCCCAGGATTCTTTTCCCTGTCCCATTGTCAAAAACTATTATCTTACCTCAAAGTACATCCCAGGACTAAATGGGAAACAGGTAATATTTCTCTCCTCTTCTCCCCAGGAATCCTGAAGAAAAGAATTTCTTACAAATGCTTTACTATTCAGGCGTGGGTTCAAGTGGAGAGCAATATCCTTTGACTTTCCTGACAGTAGATCAACATTAAAGCTTTTAAGAGAGAGAAAAACACACCAATTAACCAAGTAGAAGAGGGCAGCACAGTTTCTGAAACTTTAACAATCAGGGCTGAACTCTGGTTATAACTACACGAAACCTGAATATGCATATGGACACAGGAAGGCGAAACTTTAAACTCCAAATTAGCATTCCATAGATATTAGTATGCTATTTGCAAAATAAAGATTAAAGAAAACCCTTTAAAATCAACACTGAGGGTACAGATCTGGTAGGGAGGAAACTGAAGGGTTAGAATAAACCAAGGGATTTCGTCAGGCTGCAGGAGTGCAGCATCCTTTCAAGCAAGGATTCTCTCCTAACATTTATGTGTTCTGTTCTTGAAAGGGTATTTTTTTCTAGGAAATACCTAATTTCAAGCTTTCAGACATCTGAACATCTCTGGAGAAGGCTCTTAAAGAAGGCATTTTATAAGTTACGTGACAAGAGGGCCCCAACAAAAATGACAGGATCTCGCAGGGCTGCCCTGGAGTTCAAGGGGAGGGGCCTTGTGGACAAAAATGCCACCCTCTCACCTGGCCACAAAAAGCCTAGGTCAGAACATTAGAATTTAGCCCCAGCAGGAGTGGCTCAGTGATCAGAGTGTTGGCCAGAGGACCAAAGGCTCTCGGATTCGATTCGCAGTCAAGGGAACATACCTGGGTTGCATGTACTGGTTGGGGTGCATGCAAGAGGCAACCAATCAATGTCTCCCACATGGATGTTTCTTCCCCCCCACCACTGTCTCTCAAAATCAATCCTCAGGTGAGGATTAAAAAAAAAACCACATTAGAATTTAATCCAGGTTCTTCCACCAACTAGTTAACAGTCTAACTTCCTCATGCTTTAATAGTCTCACCTTTGAAATGAGGATTATGGCAGTACCCTACTTGTATCTCACAAGACTGTTGTGGGGTGTAAGGCAAGAAGGGACACACGTGAACTCGGTGATACCAACCCTTTGGCTTTTGTATTCACTTCTCCTTTGACGACGACAGTCCGTCCAGGGCCCATGGAGGAGTTCAACCTCGCAACGAATGGCAGAGTCTGAAAAGAAACCACAGTCGGCACCAGGAAGCCTGCAGAATGGGCTCTCACGGGGAAACTATCCAAACACGGGGAAATGTTTAAAGGCCGTGACTGTAAACCCCATGATGGGACAGTCTGTGTCTGCCTTGGTCCCAGATGGGTCCCCAGCAGTAAACTGCCTGGCTCACAGGAAACACTCGATGAAATGAAAAGATGTGGAGTGGGACCTGATATCCTTCGTATGAGTGATAAGGCCTGTGCTTGAGGTCTGAAGCACTGCTCCTGTTCTGCCTGAAGGGAAGGAGCCAGGGAAATACACACTAGTGGCTCCTAGACAGAGCCTGGGTGACTGATGATTGTCCAGGGACAGCACACAAATGCCAGGTGGCTGCTTTAGGCTTCCACAGGTAATATTTACCGCAAATTAAAACTTAATTTGTCATATAGAATTAAGAAAATTTTGGGCTCTTCAAACCTTTGACAAACAGTTGATAGGTAGTATTTTGGCGCAAGTCAAAGTGTGATTGACAGTCGAACCTTTGGTCTTGGTGTAGACAGTTCTGGGTACGATTTTACCAATGTCTCCTCTATTACTAGGCTGTAGGGAAACAGTTCTGCAGTAAGGTATGGAATGAATGATGCTGGCTTCCAACATTTAAAGTATTCGCTTCCTGGGCAATTTTATAAAATGTTGTACATATAATAGGCAAAAATACTTACAAATTGTGACATGCCAGCAGTTTGTACCTATTGGAAGAGAAAGACAAACTGATGATGCCTGAAAGAGAAGAACTATAGTATTCTATGAGTAGCTGGATCTTACTGGTTGTACTGAGCCAGACCAGAGCTTGGGACTACAGTGCCTGCTCTGCCTTGGGGGTGACACAGGCCCCAGAGCTTCATGATGGCATGGTCTGGAGCAGTAAAGGGCTCCTCAGGCTGGGAGTACAGTCTGAATCAGGTATCCTCCACTATAAGTCAATAATTTTTCATAGGAGCTTCAAACACATTTTTTAAAATCCTTATCCGAGGGTATGTTTTTACTGATTTTAGAGAGAGAGAAACATCACTGTAAGAGAGAAATATCCGTTGCCTCTCATATGTGCCCCCACAGGGGATCCAACCCGCAATCTTTCTGGTGTAAGGGGTGACGCTCCAACCAACCAAGCCATCTGGCCAGGGCCAAACAAATTTTATTCTTTCCAGGGTACTCCCCAAATGCTGAGCTTAAATTCTATTTATGAGGTACAAATGTGCTGAAATCAGTTAAGACTCACTTGTTCCATTAATAACAGATAGCAGAAACTCAATGTTTAAGTTGTACTTTTTCCTAACGGGCAGAAGATGCACAGATAGTTCAGTAACTTGTGCCAGCACAATGTTCATTCAACATTAGGAGGGTCCTTTTTACACAGGATGGTGGGCAGTGGCAGGTACGCTGATGGTTTAAGCATCAGCAAAACCTACAGTGCCTGGGCACCACAGAAGTTGCCTCAATTTTCAAATGATTACTTCCAGCCTATTAATATTAAAAACAATTTTTCATATTGAAACATAATTATAAAAAATTCTGCTTGCCTGCCACCTGAATGGCAACTAAATGAATATTTTTTAACTGGTGGTTCATTAAAAGATTTAATATTTACATTTTCTCTACTTATCTCTGCCAGTTCCAGAGTAGATGCTTGCGTACTTCTTAAATCCTGAAGAAAAGATAAGATTAATTTTTAACATCCATCAAATTCCAAGAATAACCTGCTTGACATATCAAAAAGAATTATTAATAGGACTAAAAAGATATGCTTGAAAATTATGCTTTAATCCTTTTGGAAGGCAAGTAGCAGTATCAACCATAACTTAATATGCAGATAACCCTTGGCTCAAACATTCCACCTCCACGAAACTATCTTAAGAGAAATACTCTACTGTACTCCTGTGTCAAGGAAACAACCCTCATCTGGCTAAAAAGGGGTTTTTGTGAGAACCACACTAGATCTGAAATCCTACAGACAATAAATGACATTAGGAGATCCAGATGGAACCGGCACAGGAGGATGCTGAAATCGCCCCTCTCATGAATAAACTCAAATAGCCCCTCTCACGAACAAACTCAAATACACAAGTATATGGAGAGCAGTGACTCCCATGAGACAACTGAGGGCAGAATGAACAGCTTCTAAACAAAGAAGAGAGAGAGAGACCAAATAGAGAGGCTGGGAAACCAGCCCCCAGGAGCTGGGGGAACCCAGAGCTAGAGGAGCCCAGGAATGCCACTGTTATTTCCCTTCCCTTTTAATAGGGCAGCAGCTCTATTCTGGTGCTTAGGTGGACCTGCAGGAGCACCACAGCAAATCCCCATCTACTAGGGCCCTCGGAGCCTTTACTCTGAACACAGGGAGCAAGCAGGCACAACAGAGTGTCTCACGCCACACCTGGCCTTCCTACTGAGAGCCACTCCAGCCCAGCAAGCCAGTGCCCCAGGTGCAGTTAACAACTAACTGGCACCAACCAGCTTCTAAAATGACCTGGCACATGAAGCCCACAAACAGGTCGCTTCTACACAAGACCACTTTCTGTACAACAAACAAGAGCAACACGGTATAGAGAAGGCTGAGAGCCAGAGCAACTCTCTGGGACTACACAAGTTCTCTGGCATCAGAAGTGCCCAAAAGGGCCACTGTGTCCATCCCCCTCCACCTCCATAGGGTGGGTGGGGGCTCTATCCAGGTGCTCTACCTGCGAAGTCACTATAGCACTTTACTACACACATCGCCCGAGCCCAGTCAGCCCTGAACAAATGGAGCACGCAGGATCGACAAGACAGACCTGGCCCCGCACATGGAGCCACTCCAGCTCCATAGGTCAGTGCCTGGGACACAGTAGACATCCACTTGACTCTCACCTGCCAAAACCACCTGGCGCACAGCCTACACAGAGGCCACATCAACATGAGGCACTTTTTCAAGACTGGAAGAGATAGGTATTTTGTTTTGTTAGAACAGTATATCTCAAATAAAGGAACCAGAAAAACCTCCAGAAGAAGACCCTAAGGAAACAGATAAGTAATTTGCCTGATATAGTTTTCAAAGAAGCGTTATAAGCATGCTCACCAAACCTGGGAGTGCGACAGAGAACTGAGGGAGAGCTTCAACAAGAGGAAGTGCAACGAACCAAGCCAACCTGAAGCACACGGTGAGCGGAATGAAAAACACATTAGAAGGAACCAATAATAGATCAGCTAATAGAGAGGAACAGATCAGTGACCTGGAAGACAGACTCTGGGAAATCAACCAATCAGGACAACAGAAAGAAAAAAAGAATAAAAAACATGAGGATGGTTTAAGGGACTTCATGGAGAACATCAATCATGCAAACATTTGCATTATAGACCCCGACCAGAGGAGGAAGAGTTAAAGAAAGAAAAGCTATTTAGAGAAATAAGGGCTGAAAAGTTTCATCACCTGGGAAAGGAAATAGACATCCAGGTGCATAAAGCACAGAGGGTTCCAAACACAATGAATCCAAAGAAAGAGACCCACACCAAGACAGGTTATAGTTAAAATGGCAAAAGTCAAAGCTAAGGGCACAACCTTGAGGAAGCAGGAGGTAAACAGTGAGTTACACATACAGAAAGCCCAGAGGCTATCAGCTGATTTCTCAACAGCAACTTTACAGGCCAGAAGGGAGGCAGGACATCGTTCAAGTGCTGAAGGAAAGGCACCTACAACCATGTACCTGTAAGGTCAACACTCAGAACTGAAGGCGAGTAAAGAGTTTCCCGTACCAGCCAAAACTAAAGGAGTTCATCGCCATTAAACCAGCTTTACAAAAAATGTTAAAGCATCTTCTTNTTCCCGGATCAACCAAAACTAAAGGAGTTCGTCGCCATTAAACCAGCTTTACAAGAAATGTTAAGGCATCTTCTGTAAGCAGAAGAGGACAGGCCATAGCAAGCAAGAAAAAAGTCTCACAGGTGAAGCCAAATATTCAATAAATACAGCAGGTCAGACATCTAAAAAGCTACTACAAAGGTTAAAAGAAAAAAGTATCAAACACCTCAAACTACAGTAAGTGGTTAGGAGACACACAACACAAAAAGATCTAAAACATGACATTGATAAAGTGTGGAGGGGGGAGTAAAAATGTAGTCCTTACAGAATATATTAGAACTTAAATGCCTCTCAAATTAAGGTAGACTGCTGTAGATATAGAATGAGATACATAAACTTCATGGTAACCACAAAGAAAACCAACAAAAGATATTCAAAGAATTAAGAGAAAGGACCCCAAAAAACATAAAGAAAAACAGCAAACCACAAAGGAAGAGATCAAAAGAAGAAAAACAATAAACAAAATGGCAATAATTATCAATAATTTCGTGACATGTAAATGGACTAAGATTCCCAACAAAATATTAGCAAACTGGATTCAACCATACATTGATAGGATTATATACATCACGACCAGGTGGGATTCATCCCAAGGATGAAAGGATGGTTCAACGCCTGTAAATAAATGAAGTGATGGATCATATTAACAAAATAAAGCAAAGAAACCATATGATCATCTTAATAGAGCAGAAAAAGCATTTGTCATAATTCAGCATCCTTTTATGATTAAAAAACCACCTCCCAACAAAGTGGGCATAGAAGGAACATATCTTAATATAATAAAGGCAAACCCACAGCTAATATACTCAAAGGTAAAAAGCTAAGAGCTTTTCCTCTAAGATCAGGAACAAGAGAGGGATGCCCACTATTACCACTTCTTTTCAACATAGTACTAGAAGTCCTGGCCACAGCAATCAGACAACACAAAGAAATAAAAGGCATCCAAATTGGAAAGGAAGAGGTAGAAGTCTCATTATCTGTTGATGACATGATACCATATATAGAAAAACAAAGAATCCACCAAAAATTTGTTAGAACTAACAAGTAAATTCAAGTTGCAGGATACAGAACCAATATACAGAAATCTGTTGCATTTCTACACACTAGTAACAAACGACCAGTAGGAGAAATCAAGAAAACGATGCCATTTTCAATTGTATCAAAAAGCATAAAACACCTAGGAATAAATTTAACCAAAGATGTGAAAGACTGGTACTGGAAGGATTACTCTATTGTAAAAATGTCCTTACTATCTAGATGAGTGGATGAAAAAGCTGTGGGGCATTTATACCACGGAATACTATGCAGCTGTAAAAAAGAAGGATCTTTACCCTTTGGGGCAGTATGGATGGACCTGGAGAAAACTATGCTAAGTGAAATAAGCAGGCAGAGAAAGACATGATCTCACTTATATGTGGAATCTAAAGAATATCATAGTCCGGCCGGGCGTGGCTCAGCAGTTGAGCGTCGACCTAGGATCCAGGCGATCGGGGTTCGATTCCAGGTCAGGGCACATGCCCAGGTTGTGGGCTGCAGCTGATCAATGACTCTCTCATCATTGATGTTTCTCTCTCTCTCCCTCTCCCTTCCTCTCTCTGAAATCAATAAAGATATATTTTAAAAAAAAAAAAAGAATATCACAAACTGATGAACGAAATAGATTCAGTGACACAGAAGCATGAAACAGACTGACAAATCTCAAAGGGAAGGCAGGGGTGGGTGGGTT